CTCTGCTGGTCTTCTAGGAAGTGACGGAGAGCCAACAAACGAAAATGGTTTGAGCCCGCCGAACAGTAACCTTCGTTGAGTTTCCCCTCAACTCAGTTACCGTACGGCGGGGCATATTGTTAACGGCTGGAATGTTAGCCGTATCTTAGATGTGTGTGTGTGCACTCAGATACAAAATTATTTAGCGCGCATTAGGGTGGTGCAGCATATTTAGGTATGGGCCTAAACAGCGCCACTTAATAAACCATGGCACTTCGGAAGACCACGAGAGAATCGCTGCTAAATTTTGCCAAAAAACTAAGTCTATTGCTTTCACAAATTTTATTGGCGCCATTGACGGAACGCATATTCGGATAAAATGCCCCATAAACAAACATGATGAATATATAAATCACAAAAAATTGTATTCTATTCAGGCGCAAGCAGTTGTGGATAGTGAATATAGATTTACAGACGTGTTCATTGGTTATCCAGGCTCCGTTCATGATACAAGGGTATTTGTCAACAGTTCTTTGTACGCTAAGAAGGACTATCCGCCTCAAGGTTGGCTTTTATTTGGTGATAAAGGCTACCCGTATCAACTATATTCGGTGGCAGTAATCACACCATTTAAAGAGCCCTCAACGGCAAATCAGGCTAGATTTAACACTGCTCATAGTAAAGAACGTATAACTGTAGAATCTGCATTTGGAATTTAAAAAAAATCGGTGGAGACATATTTTTAATAGAGAGCTGGAGCTAAAAATTGAAAACTGTATAAAAACCGCATTTGCTGCCTTTACACTGCATAATATTTGCATACTCCAGGACGATTTTGAGCCATCTTGGGGAGAAGAAAATCACCTTTCGGATTTAGGACAGCCAGAATATGAAGGTCTATTAATATACTCTGCAGAGGGTACAAGAATGAGAGAAATAATTTTTTATGAATTTTTGCAAAACCAAGAACCAGATGTTTAATAAAAACCAGCTTCCAATAAATCACTTGCTATAACACAAAACATGTTGAAAGTTACAATTTCGAGAAAGTAGAGAATTTCGTTTACTTGGGAACCAGCGATAACACCGATAATAATGTCAGCATTGAAATCCAACGCAGAATCACTCTTGCCAACAAGTACTACTTTGGACTGAGTAGGTAATTCAGGAGTAAAGTCCTCTCCCGACGTACGAAAACCACGCTATATAAGTCACTCATCATGCCCGTGCTGGTATATGGAGCAGAAGCATGGACAATGACAACATCCGATGAGGCGGCTCTTGGAGTGTTNGATTTATTAAAGACACGAACCGATAATAGTTGCACCCTCGAACTTTTACATGTTCTTTTGCATATGTAAACACATGATTATTATCGGAATAAGTCGTATCTTGAGCTGCCATTTTAGTAGTAATAACTTAAGTTAAATAACTATATTGAGCAGAATAAATGTATTTGTTTATACTATTTTTCAAAGATTTAATTATTGTATGTATACAAAAATTAGAAACTACAGTAAATGTTAAAAATAACCGAAATGGGAAAGATAATCACAACTTCACAGGCAAGAAAAAATTACCAAAATTGGTTAAAACTAAACAAAACGGCAACACTGCACGCAACTGTCTTTTCCGGCACCCAGTTGCTCTCGCAGTTCTCTCGCGATGTTTCTGTTACATAAATAAACAAAATCTTATTAGTGCATCAATCTCCATCCAAAATACATATTTAACTTACTTCCAGCCTGTGTTGCTATTGGCGTTTTTCCCTGTGAACCACAGATCCTGCTCTACTCGCTTTTGCAGCAGGATGTGACGCTCAGCGTTGTTCCCTTTTATAATCAATTGAAGCTTTTGATTCATAAAACTAATGCATTTAACAAGAAAGACTTACATGTAGTGTAGCTCTTCTTAGTTTTTTTTTTTCTGGTGGCTCCATTTTTTAATGTTTTATTATTTTTGGGTTAATTTGGCGTTACATTTAATGATCATCAACAAGTTTTGCGATTGTCAAAATTTTTTATGCGTTTGTCAAAAATTTTTTTTTGATGTGTATAATTTTTCGTTAAATAAATTGATGAATTGCAATCAACGATGGTAGATGTTTTCTTAAAATATTAATTTCACTTCAATTTGTAATATTTTATTCCGCATAAATCTGCGGTTATCAAAAATTTACTGCTGTCAAAAAATATTTCATTTCACACAGCAGATTGGCAAAACAGTCTCACCATAGTAAAAATATTATTCAACAGCTTTCCCCATAAAACTTTGTTACCGATTCACACACGCCCTTTATTTTATTTATTTTATTCACCTCACAACTGTCAAATTTTTCTTCGCCGCATACTTTGCTACAGATTCACACACGCTCTGAGTAATTAATCAAAACCACTTGAAGGATCGATTAATTTCGGGATCAAAAAATAAGCATTGTACGATAGTTAATAAAGATATGGTTAATATGTTGTACGTAGAAGAAAATATTTACTATGGCGATATCTACTGTCGTTTCTAAATATCCACAGCAGAATGTAGGAGTAGGAGAGTTGCACCTCATGACTTGATACTAAAAGTCGGAGCAGTTGTGATGTTAGTCCGCAACTAGCAAATACCCGGCGTGCTTCGCAACGCCTCGTGAGTAATTTTGCATCAAAGTTAAGGAGAAACAGTATTGAAACTCAAATGGGAAAACCTCTTCAGGGGAACAATTTTTCCTTTATTAGTATCCATAATTCATCTGGACAGCCATTGTAACCCTAGTACGTATGTGTGTACATATAATGTGTTGTAATCAATTGGTAATAATAATAAAAGTTAAGATCTATCTTCACAAATCAGTGCCGTATCAGTTCGGTATCATTGCCAATCATCATCGATCAGTGATACCTACTCACACACATCTGTAGCATGTCGTCCGGTGCTTTCAGTAAAATGAAGTTTATTGAAACCAATAAGACTTATTTTACTAAAGTTTAGTTGGCAATTATTGCCAAATTATATAATTCTGGATAATTCCGTACCAACTCGATTAATTTTCCCTCCATATCAAACAAAACTTGAAATAGAATACCGTCAGCTCGTCCGTGAAATACACAAACAAATCTTCGTGAGTTAACTACACTCTAAAAAATTTTTGTTTAAATTTAAGCATATTAAAAAAGGTAGCCAGTTTCCTCTCTTAATGTATGCAAATTTCCACAACCTGTTAATCAATTTAAAGACTGCTTTTTAACTTTTACTTACCCTAAGTGTGGCGTAGAACAAATTTGAAATTCTTTTGTTGAATTCTAAACACTTAAGGCCAAATTCACAGTGCGTAGTTAACTCAGAATCGGCCGTTAACTACATATTTTCAGTACAGAACTGTGAATTTGGTCCTTAGGGCCGTTAATTTAACTATATTAAAGTATAGTTAAATCATTAGTTAAACTAAACTACAAAAATTTCTATAGAATTTTCTTAGTGTTCACAATTACACAGTTTACACATCAATTGTTTAAAATTTGCTCTAAAAGTTTTTTGTTTAAAGTAAATAAAGTTTCTTCTCCTAATGTATGCAAATTTGGACACCGTGTTAATAAAATTAAACACTGCCTATTTACTTTTGCATACCAAATTTGTCGCGTAGAGCAAAATTACACATAAAATGTACATAATTTTTATTCTTAGTAGGGAATGTATTTTTGCGTTAAAAACGTTTGCAATTTTAAACATTCCATGTGTATATTTTAAAAACCTTATGTTCAAAAATCCAGTGCTAAACATCTTATGCCTATACTTACACCAATTTTGTTTGATAATAAACACTTTTCAGTAGCAGTTTTACATGCAGTTTTTAGAGTTTATAAAAAAATTTCGGAACGAACACTGAAGCAGCACTTACAGTAAAAAACGGCACTGTGCCGGACGGTCTGAGCAACTCTATTTGGGACTGGGGTAACGATATTGGGCGCGTTCATAAGTCGTAGCTGTTGGGTAACCGTTGGCTGTTTGTCTTAGAAACGCACAGTTGAGTAGTTCCGCTCAGCTCAACAGTTGGCAACTTTCCGCCATTTTTTCCAGCGCACAATTTTTACGCTACCTGAACTCAACGTGTTGGGCTTAGCCCAAACAGCTGATCGAAAAGACTTACGCCGTATCTAAAATATCTTAAATAATACTACGTTTACTAAATATATGTTTAATAAGATGTTTACTTTATTTTAATGCATCATAAAATTTAACGCTATATTTCAAGACGATGACAGCTCAGCGTTGGAGTGGAAAAAACTATCGACACAACTATCATCACTATATTTATTGCAGCGTTCGTTGTTTGGTTGTGGAAATCTTCAAAATATACATAAAATGGAAAATTCGTGGGCTGCAGAGTATCGCATTGGAGACCATGTATATAGCATATACGAGGAAAGCCAAATTCTTTTTCTTTTTGGTGAACGGCCGAAGGGCGCCAACGCAGTAAGAGTACAACTCCACAACAAGTTTTTCAGTCGTTCCACGCTTTTCTGTCTTTAAGCTATTCAATTCAGCTTTGTTGAAAGCCGGAAAAGCGAGGAATACCTGAAAAGCTTGTGGAGTTGTACTCTAAGGAGTTCGGGTGAGGTCTAGCTATTTGTATAACGAGTTTGGGTTGCTGTGCCCAAACGCGTTACCCGAATCGAAAAACTTGTCCACGCATTCTGGACAAGAGTCTACACTCTTTTTCTTCAGCAACACAGAAAGGAGAATTCTATTCATTGAGGGTTATAACTTCTTTTGTTGGAAAACTTTGCTTTTCCTTTTCAAAAAATTCAAATTTCCCCTATTTTAAAACAGCTCCCAAGAGTCTGGAGGGATGAGGGGGTGACTTTTCATAAAGCGCGGTACATCGTCTTTCTTTATGGTGGGGTTTGGGGGTCACGCCTTCTCCAACCCTCCCCTCCCCCCTACCCCAAGCCATTGTACAAATAACCCAACATTTTCCAGCTATACTTAAAACCTTGAGTAAACTGCATTACTAATTAACTTTCTTTCAGATGAAACTTTTCTAAAAAGTTATGTGGCTGAATCCACGGGAAACCCAGAGTTGGTTGCGGTTGTCAATGCTGATGCAGGTAATAAAAAAGTGTCCTTTAATAGGTCGATGGCGAAACGCAAACAAACTTCAGAAATTACTGTAATATATGACAAGTGGCAACTTAGAGCTGACAACTGAGTTCCTATTTTGGCATCTGCATTTTTGTCGTTGCAGGGAAAATTTCGATAGGGTAAAAGTTATTGACCTTATTCATAAATAATAAAGTAGGTTTAAAGAGCTTTATAAATTTACGTTTTCATATATTTTTCAATTTACAAACCTATTTTGAAGCAACTTTATTTTTTATAAATAATGCCATATGAATTTTACGCTATTTTACCATCTTTTTTAAACTCAGTTGAATATTGCTCGGCACTAAAAATTCCATTACCTTATATTTAATAGTAATGAGTTGCTATTCATAATACAAATTTTAAGAAATCAAGTTTGGTTGCAATCCATAATTGATCCATCTATGATTAAGGTAATTGCTTTAAGCAGCATTTAGAAAACGATTTTATCTCTTTCTTGAAAATTGAAAGACAATTTACACAGGCGATTTTATTGAATGCGATGTTGAATCCTTAGAGATTCGCCTCATGTAAATGCTGCTTAAAGCTATTACATATGTACATACATATATCAAATTGATATCTTTAGTTCCATTAGTTGATGGTCAGGGCTAAAAACATTTAAATGGGACGCAAGAGCCACCAAGTATTTCTTCGATATATACATGGAGAGGAAAGACAAATTCCGAGACCCTAAAATAAGGAAAAAGACTTTGTGGCCAGAAATCGCGCGGGATATGAATTTGCGTGGCTAGAATGTAGATGAGGACATACTGGACCGCAAGATACGTAATATGAAAACAACGTATAAGACAATTAAAGACAACAACAACAAAAACAGTACAGGTCAGTAAGTGAACTGACATTCTCATATACATGAATATTTATGTATTTTTTGTAATTATTTTTTAGGTAGAGGTCGTATTACATGGGAATATTTCGATGTTTTTGAGGAAATATTTTCGAGTGACCGTACGGTAAATTGCGGTCCAGTTGCGTCCTCAATGGCGGTCAGTGACGTTGCCGACCAACTTAATTCAAGTGTGATGTCCAGCTCAACATCCTACATTCCGCCATCTCCAGTCTCTATAGACGAAGATGAGCCTCCGCATAAAACGAAAAAGACGAATGCGGCAAAAAGTATGCATTCCTTGTACTACATGCGCAAAAAAATGATAGAAGCTGAAGAAAGGAAAGCTGCCGCAAGTGAGGAACTAAATCGTGTACTTACGGAAATGAAAAAATTACTCCATGAGCGTAACGAATTGCTGCGGCGATTTCTAGAAACGCGCAGTCCAGGAGTCTAAATAATACTAAATATATACTGTGAAGAGCAAAACTGAGTCAACGGAGATTTTGGGTCAATATTTGCAGTTTTTAAAGTAAAATTTTTGTGTTTTTTTTATTAAATATGGTTCAAGCTTAAACAAAAACCATATAAGACAATCTTAGACTTTTTTATCAACTATTGATGAATTTTTCTAAGCTCTGTAAAAAAGTGTTAGATTGACTTATATGGTTTCGGTTTAAGCTTGAACCATATTTTTATTAAAAAAAAACACAAAAATTTTACTTTAAAAACTTTGCAAATATTGACCCAAAATCTCCGTTGACTCAGTTTTGTTCTTCACAGTATACAGTGTTGGACACACCATTTTGGACCAGATTGAAAATGATATATGTAGTTTGCTACTTCTGTTTACTTGTTAATTTGTAAGGTTTTTCAACTAAAATACAGTTAATTCCCTAACAAATGCCACATAAACCTGAGCTGAAATATTTACTATGAAAAAACAACAATTTTAAAAATCGACGGTAATTTTCAGTGTTCTACAAATATTTAAGCTCAGGTTTATATGGCATTTGTTAGGGAATTAACTATATTTTAATTGAAAAACCTCCTCCGCTAGGGCAGGCACCTTGCCGTTGGTGCGGGGGCTTAGTCGAATCACAATCAGACCTTATCGTCGGGTGGTAGTGTAATCGTATCTCTACCTTCGGGTACTGTGCGAATGCACTCCATTTCCTATGGTTCGGGCTGCTTGTGAGCGATGACCAAGAACTGCCGACCCCCTAATCCAGGGTGTTAAGCGAAACCGTGCCCATTGGAAGGTTTGCAGCCAGGGTGTTTACCAGACCAGCTGTATTTTAACGGCGCCTTCCTGACACCGGGCCGCCTCAGGGAGTAACGGTGGCCTTGCTGCGGCATGGGGCGCTGCCGTAGTGGACCGTTTGAATTCCCCTATTATGACCTAGACCACCGCGCCCGCTTCGTCGGGTAGGTGGTCGTACGAACAAGATGAACAAAAACAAAACCAAAACCAAAACTTAAAACAAAACCCTAACAATAAAAATTCGAGTGGTGGAGGGGATTCGAAGCCGATCCCTCTCTTCTGCTCCTCTTTAAACGAGGCGGAATCGACTCGTGGGCAGGGTGGGGCAGCTGCTGCTGCAGGGTGCAGCAAGGGGTCGGAGCCGACCTCTTCGTCTGCACTCGTATCTGGTGGTGCCGGTGGGAACCCACCGCACCTAGTCTCGGGGTTGGGGGCGCGGGCGAATTCGCCTGCATTTAGGAGGAGGCAGGGTCGCAGACGAAATCGTCTGCGGCTATGGACGTGAGGGCACTGGACAGTGTGGCCGGCACCAGCCAAGGACTTGCGGCTGAATCTGGGAGGAATCCCTCCGTTAGACCTAAACGGCATGCTGGGCCGGCCAGGAAAGCACGTGATGACTGTCGCATGGCCACCAAGATCCTGGCGCGTTACGGCGAGGTGGGTGCTGCGCAGCTATCTGAGCAGCACGCGCGATCGCTCGAGTGGGCCAGGGGGTGCTAAGCGGCGGCCAGGAGGGCTGTGGTGAGGGTGTTTCTGGGGGTGCGAGCGCATCCCGTATTGACCCTGTCAAGCGGCAGAGATCGCAGGAGGGGGAAACCCCCCTCTCCAAGAAGCCCAGAGCGGGAGGGACGCCTAAGCTCTTTAGCGAGATCGCTAAACAGGCGGGCTCTATCACTCTGGGTGTTTTGGATCGGGGTAAGGATGACGGGGCCATCGCCAGAGAGGATTGGAGGAAGGTGTCTTCGGCCTTATCAGGGGTGTTTATGAGGGTGGTCAGGGAAAACCCGGGGCCACCGCCGCGGTGCGAGAGTGCTGGTTGGCATCAGGGGACGATTAAGAAGGTGGTGTGTGCCGATGAGCGGTCGGCCGCGCTTTACAAGGCGGCAGTAGCCTTGGTCGGGGAGGTTTGGGTGGGAGCCAAACTCGAGGCTGTGGACAAGGGGGACCTTCCCTTGCGTCCGCGTGCCCGGGTATGGCTTCCCTCGGCGCCTTCCTCGCTGAGAGAGGTGGAAGATATCTTCCGCTACTGCAACCCGGACCTCCCAGCGCACAACTGGAAGGCAATCCGGTTTGAGAGCTCCGACGGCTTAAGCCTCTCTCCGAAAGACAGGGAGTCATCTACTATGGCTTCGAGAAGGTAGTCATGAAGGTCTACCAGACCGACTCCAGAGGGGATGACGAGCCTGTTCCGGTTGCGCTGGTGGGCGAAAATACGAATGTGGAGGATGCCCCCATAGGTATGGAGGTCGAGTCCGTCATGTCGGACAGTGACAGCATTGCTGGCCCTCCTTCGAGTGCGGGATCGGTTATCTCTGTTGGCCCGCTGTTCGACAGGGCGGAGGAGGAATTGCTCCTTGCGTCCGATGGGGACGGAGGGGTGCTGGAGAAGATTTCGGAGGATGAATATTCTTCAGCTCAATCTTCAGCACTCTAAGGCGGCGTCAGCCAACCTTTTAATCCACCTTGAGCAAGGTGGAGTTAATGTAGTCCTGATCCAGGAGCCGTGGCTGAGCAGCTGCAATAAGGTTTCTGGTATCGGGACGAGGGACTACAAACTGGTGGTGCAGCGTGATGCAGGTAGACCTCGATCTTGCATGCTCATCAGGAAGGAACTTAATGCGTTTATTTTGCCTCTTTTCAGCGATGGAGACATTGTTACGGTCAGCCTTGAGGGTACAACCGGAGAACTCTGGTTAATCTCCGCTTATATGGCACACGAGGACGGGGTGGAGCCACCTCCGTGCTTACTAAGGAATGCGGTGGCAGAAGCTAAACGCAGGAATATCCACGTTGTTATTGGGTCTGACGCGAATTCCCACCATACGATTTGGGGCAGCTCAGATATCAACAGTAGAGGTGAGTCACTCTTTAATTTTATACTTAATGAAAATTTATGTACTATGTAGTATTTTTTAACGGCTAGTAGAGAAGAGGTTTTAAATATTACGTTGGTCTCTTCTGATATAATGTCCCGTATATCTGGCTGGAGAGTTCTTAGTGAGCACTCCTTTTCCGATCATCGGTACATACAATTCGCTTTGGACGAAGCGCGTCCTAAGTACAAACCTTACAGGAATCTGAGGAGAACCAACTGGGACTTATACTGCAGAAGTCTGCAGGAATTGCTTCCGGTTGCGCCCGTGGGGGGCGGGACCTGGAGTGAAGGCGAAATTGACGAATTAATTGGAGTGTTCACCACTTCGTGTAAAAGGGCCATTGATATGTCTTGTCGCCTGAGTTACCACAAAGTTAAGAGCAAACCGCTCTGGTGGTCGGAGGAGCTCTCTGATCTTAGGACCTCGAGCAGAGGCCTTTTCAATAGGGCCAGGAAGAGTAAATCAGCCTCCGACTTGGCACTGTATAAGATTGGGCTTGGGATATATAAGTCCGAGATCAGAAAAGCGAAGCGGACATCGTGGGGACTGTTCTGCGAAAGTCTGGAGGGTAGTCAGGAGTGTTCAAGGTTTCGGCGAGTTCTTTCTGAGAATCCCGCTCCCCTGGGATACATCAGGGATGAGGGCGGCGGCTGGGCAATGAGCAGCGAGGAGTCTCTTCGGATGCTCCTTGATGCTCATTTTCGCTGCAACCCGGACCCGGGAGGGATCCGGTTAGAGGAGTCGATCCCCGAGACAAATGTCTCGGAAATCCTAACCATGGATCGCCTTCTTTGGGCCATTGGATCCTTCAAGCCCCGACGGCATAATACCGGCCCAACTGCAGAAATCTGCAGAAGTGTCGTGCCGTTGGTTGATGCCCATTTTCGAGGGTTGTCTGGCTAAGGGTCATGTTCCGGGGCCTTGGAGGGTGGTCAGAGTCGTGTTCATTCCCAAGGCGGGTAAAGCCTCTCATGTATCACCCAGGGATTTCATGTTTCGCCTGAGGCTGTAGTTAACTCCCTAAATAAGCTAGGGGTCGGAGCCGACCTTGTCAGGTTTATTAACCGCTTGCTTTGCAACAGAACTGTCGCGGAAGAGTAGGGCACTGCTTCAATCCGGAGGTGTGTGAGTAGAGGTACTCCACAAGGGGGAGTTCTCTCGCCATTACTTTGGGTCGTTGTAATCAATGACCTGCTGGTGGCTCTGGAAAGAAGTGGCTGTCGGGTGGTTGCCTATGCCGATGATGTAGTATTGATAACAAAAGGAGAGTTCCCGGAAGCACTATTTGAGCTTATGCAGGGTTACTTGAGCTTGGTTGAGAACTGGGCTTCTAGCTGCGGGCTGGGTGTAAATCCAAGTAAAACGGAGCTTGTTCTCTTTACTAGGAGGTATAAGATACCGAATTGCCATCTTCCCTCTATGGGTG